GCTTGCAATTACAAATGAAAATTTAACTTTGATGAAAATATCATCACTTTCAAATAGAATTTCAATGTGTGAATTTTCAATGAATGTGTTAACCTTCTATGTGAGGCGATGTTGTCTAGAACTATCCAGCTGGCCCTAGAGTGACCTTCACATGTTTTACCCATCATTCCAATCAGGGTAATTCTTCCACTTGTATGCAGATGGCGTATTAGACGACAGTTCATTTAACAGAAAGACCCAAGCCATTCTGAAGCGTAAATAAGATGTCATCGCCATCTGTGTTTTGGGGTGGAGTAGAACTTCGACATAGACTGCTGTAAAACTCAGTTCGATTAAGAATCTGCCTTTTCTTAATCACTTCAGCAAGAATTGTTTTTTCGTGGTCCTAGGATTGTATTGATCTCTGTCCCAAACTATTGGAAGATATATTGAATGGCTGTTTGATATTTGTAGAAGTGTGGCATGGATAGGGTAGATACGTGATCTGGTCAAACTGGGTTTCCTGTTCTATCGGGGGGATTGTTTGGGAGGAGAGCTGCATCCAATCAATTCTAATAGGACCGTGCGGCTTTGTTTGTTACAAGTACACACTGCTCGTGTATAATTTCGATTCTTCTTGGGTAATTCAGGATTTGGGATTTAAGACGATTATTGTTGTTTGAGTAAGCTGATCAGAGGATGGTTTAGAAGAGATGGATGCGATATGTTATTAATGCAGTATCTCACCCACACACCTTGTTTCTTGTGTTTACTTAAAACATCCTCACAAGCGTTTATGATTGGAACTTCATAATTTGGTATTGTACCAAACACCGGAGGCTTAATAACTAATTCGTTTTTTTCCTTCTGTAAATGTCGACCTTATCATCAGATTAAAGATTTGAGGGAAAAATAGCTACTTTGCTAATTGTATTTGTTGTCAAAGTTGGTTGTGCAGTAATAATTGTCAATTATGGTATATGATAGCCGAGAGATAGTCATCATATTATGTGTTTGACGTTTGTTCCACACTCTATCACAGATTCGGTCAGTTATATAAATATGGTTGTGTGACAAATACGTCATAATACAATGCAGATGGTTGTTTAAGTTTTAGTTTGTACTTTTTGGTGTATTGGGTATTAAGATCAATGCTTTTCATGGCCTACTTTTGTAACTTCACGTGGATCCTCAAGTTGGGTGTACATACTGAAGGGAAGACAGAGAATATCTTTTTCTTTCATATTTCTATAATAAAATCTGTCATGCCGTGAGATTAATGTCTCAAATTATGTCTTTAGTGCTATCCAAAATTGCAGGCAGCTTATGTCTGTGCCCCCCACCCCAAAAATATGTTGTTGGTTTTCTAGCAAGGCAAGCAGGACATCTCTCCTATGATGCAAAGATATTTTAGGAGTCAGTTATTTCCAGATATTTTCTATATGTTTGGATATAGTTGGAGGAATTGATGATAACTGCCTTTGTAGAAAATATTTACGCAAAATCCTGGCTGGAACCTTCATAACCACATACGAGGCAATGGAATAGTCTAATGAAGTAGTCATGCTCGATGACTTGGTTGTTTAGCCTGCTCTCGTACCCCAATGGTGTTGATTGTTGCCCACACTATAGATCATTGGATTGCCTGAATGACAATCAATTCAAGCCACCATCATATAGCCGGACTTTGGTTGAGTGTCACGTTAGCAAACAAACAGGCTTAATGCATTTTCATCCAAATACTTTCCTCACGTGCATATGAGCTTGAGTGAGTGAATGAGTTTGGTTTTACGCCACTTTTAGCAATATTCCAGTAACATCACGGCGGGGGACACCAGAAATGGGCTTCACACATTGTACCCATGTGGGAATCGAACCCGGGTCTTCGGCGTGACGAGCGAACGCTTTAACCACTAGGCTACCCCACTGCCCCGCATGTGAGCTTGAGGCATTAAAGGTGTGCATCACAATATCGGTTTAAGCAAACATTCAGAGGACAAACAAAGACTAGATCTAAGCTTGCTTTTTGTGTGCAGTAATACAACATTGTGATGCAATAAAGTGACATCACAGTCCAAGTTATATAAGTGCCAAAGTTTCCAGCATTATGCTACTGTTGAAGTCATGAATGTTATCATGTTCAAAATCTTTCACAAATCAATGTTTATTATGGAACACGATATTGATGAATGCTGTAGCAGCCATGTTTGCTGCCAATCAGCTGATTTAATCAGATCGTGATCCTCTGACGGCTTTATCTAAACCTGCTCAGAGGCAGATATTCAGCCCGTGTATAGCCGCGAAAAGCTGCAAAATTGCTGATTCGGCTTAAAGCAACATTACTCACTCACTCAGTCAGTGTCCTGGAATTTTAGTTTCTTCATTCACTTTTCATGCAATAAGGTCGAAGTCACCTGTGTCTTAATGATAATAGAACTAACAATGAGGAAGAAGAATGATGCTTGACAATGACAATAAATCTATGTCGAAACATGCTTGACCACGTCATTAGAATCTATGTCGAAACATGCTTGACAATGACATTAGAATCTAAATTGTTGAAACGTGCTTGACAATGACATCAGAATCTATGTTGAAACATGCTTGACAATGACATTAGAATCTATGTCGTTATGTGCTTGACCACATCATTAGAATCTATGTCGAAATGTGTTTGACAATGACATTAGAATTTATGTCGAAACATGCTTGACAATGACATTAGAATCTATGTCATGTGCTTGACCACATCATTAGAATCTATGTCGAAATGTGTTTGACCACGACATTAGAATCTATCTTGAAACATGCTTGACAATGACATTAGAATCTATGTCGTTATGTGCTTGACCACATCATTAGAATCTATGTCGAAATGTGTTTGACAATGACATTAGAATCTATCTTGAAACATGCTTGACAATGACATTAGAATCTATGTCGAAACGTCGCCTTTCACCGAATAAAGAAGTTGTATATCCATAAAATTATCAATATTCTTCATTACTTCAACTTCTAAAATTCCCATCAAAGAAATTAGGAAGAACTTTGAAAACTTAATTTTACATTATTGCTTTGAATGCAAGGTTATAGTATCATGTTAAATTGCCCCTGAAATAGGAATTATGAACTATGTTCCTTATTTGCCTGCTAAGACTTTCCACAGTAATGGTGAATAATATGCTTATAGTAAAACTGCATCAATGATTAATGTTAAAAGGGAATGTTAATTAGAGAATGTTAATATCATTAGACCTCTGATTGACCAATCACAATCAAAGTCATGATGCTATCATGCTTAATGCTGAATCAGCAATTTGTGTAACGAATCATCTATTTTGATTTGATGAATGCTGCTATGATTTTTCTCCACTGATTAACTGATCACCTTTGTGTTTTTATCAGACATGAGTTGGTTGTGCTTAATGCTCCATTGGCAATTTGTGCAACTAAGCATCTATTTGCTGAAAAGTACTATGATTTGTAACCTGTGATTGACCAATCACATTCAAGTTTTTTTTCAAAGCCGTGAACTGTCATACCTATTGTAGCATCAATAATTTGTGCAGCAAATCAACTATTCTCATTAGAAGAATGTTTATGTAATTTTTAACCTCTGATTGGCCAATCTCAATGTATTTTAGCAAATTCATGATCCAAAAATATTTAATGCTGCATTGGCAATTTGAGCAGCTGCATCAGCAATTTGTGCAGCAAATCAACTATTGTAAATAGAAGAATGTTAATGTAATTTAGGCCAAATAAAAAATGTTGTGGTTCCGATTACACCTCTTTAAAATTTAGGGTAGGTACGTAGGAAGTTTTTTTTTTTACATATTTTTCTAGAAGGAAAGTACAAACTAATAACACATGTATCAATGTGTAATTGTTTATTCAATCAAACTTGCGGCCATCATATGGACTTTCTCTATCAGAATGACTGATATCTGTTGGCACCAGGAAAAAACAATGGTATCTGAAAGCTTATTTTATTCAGTCCGCTGAAAAAAAATAGGGTCAGCACCAGAATTCAAGGGTCGGTCAGGTAATCAGGACCACAACATTTTTTTAAGGCCTTATAACCTGTGATTGACCAATCACAATGAAGTTTTTAGCAAAGGGATATTTAATGCTGCATCGGCAATTTGAGCAGCTGCAGCGGGCAGTCAGAACTGAACATTCTAGTGAGTGGTGTTTCAGGCAAAGAAGCTTCAAGTTGTATGATGTAGATGCTGTTGGCAGCCCTCTCTGAAAACCAGCAATTCCCTATGTCCCTTGGTCGGAGCCAGTATTGATTTTTGAGATGACAGTGAAGTGGCTGTCTTGTCACTGATGAGACATTTTGTCTGACATTTTTTCCTAAGACAAAAAAAACTCCGAGATATTTTTTGTCTGACTTGAATTCCTTTCTTGTCCAATTTGTCCTTTTTATTGATGAACCATAGATTTGTTCTTGGAAAAAATGTTTGATATTTGATGTTAAGTGTCATTTTTGATATAGCACTTCCTCTGATGCAAAAAGTCCATTTATAGGTAAATTATGTTGGAAACTTTGAGACAGTTAGGTACTTGCTCCATCACGTTTGGTAAATATGTATTTTAATAACTGGTGTTGAAGGTCCTTTATGAATAGCAGGCATTGATGAAATGGAATAAAAGGGACTGTGTTATGGAGACAAATGCAGTGTTGACACTGTCAGCGCCAAAACCTTTGGAGTCTACTAGCCCAAACATGGCTTTTAGCTTCAGTTTCATCAGATTGGAGAGTCATTAGGATTGCTTTAGCTGAACTTACTAGACCAAACAGAATCATATTAGTCTCTGGCTTTGGACAAGTTTCTAAAGCAGACTGGTTTCACAGAGGAATTTGAAACAATGTACACATATGATTGTGCAAATCTAATTATCCCGATTTGAAAGCTTCTCGCCCAGGCTTTATGGGCGAAATATGGCATTTGACTGTTAAATGTTATGAAATACAATGACATTTATTGTATTAAGTGTACATTTGTTATTTGCAGACAGGACTGGTTCCAGAATGCCAAGTCGGTAACCATTGTTGTTTATACAAAATGGCAGGCCATGAAACATGAATTTGTCACCATCGACTTGAATGATAGGAAACTTAGCATCAACATATTCCTGGAAACTCACACATATCGGATGCATGTAGGTAAGTTGGAGCATGATGTACACCTTGTTCATGTATTTATACAGGTAGCCCAGGAGTCTAGTTTTAGGCTTGAATATTTGTTAGGCTTTATGGGCATTACAGACAAGTTTATGTTATCATCCTATGAGTCACTATGTGGATTGCTTGTCTTTAATAGTGGCTTAATGTATTAGGAGTCCTGATATGGTGACTCAGTGGATTGGGTGTCTAGACACAATTACACAGTAGATTGGGTGTCCAGGCTCATCAACACAAGGATTGGGTGTCTAGACTCAGTGATACAGTGGATTGGGTGTCCAGGCTCGTCAACACAATGATTGGGTGTCTAGACTTAGTAGTACAGTGGATTGGGTGTCCAGGCTCATCAGCACAAGGATTGGGTGTCTAGACTCAGTGATACAGTGGATTTGGTGTCAGGGCTCATCAACACAAGGATTGGGTGTCTAGACTTAGTAGTACAGTGGATTGGGTGTCCAGGCTCATCAGCACAAGGATTGGGTGTCCAAACTCAGTGATACAGTGGGTTGGGGGTCTAGACTCTGTAGCACAGTGGATTGGGTGTCTAGACTCAGTGACACAGTGGATTGGTTGTCTAGACTCAGTGATACAGTGGATTGGGTGTCCAGGCTCGTCAACACAAGGATTGGGTGTCTAGACTTAGTAGTACAGTGGATTGGGTGTCCAGGCTCATCAGCAGGAGGATTGGGTGTCCAAACTCAATGATACAGTGGGTCGGGTGTCTAGACTCTGTAGCACAGTGGATTGGGCATATAGACTCAGTGACACAGTGGATTGGGTGTCTAGACTCTGTGGCACAGTGGGTTGGGTGCCTAGACTCTGTGGCATAGTGGATTGGGTGTCTAGACTCTGTGGTACAGTGGATTGTGTGTCCAGACTCAGTGATAGAGTGGATTGGGTGTCTAGACACTGTGGCACAGTGGATTGGGTGTCCAGGCTCATCAACACAAGGATTGGGTGTCCAGACTCAGTGATACTTTGGATTGGGTGTCTATACTCAGTGATACAGTGGATTGGGTGTCCAGACTCTGTGGCACAGTGGATTGGGTGTCCAGGCTCATCAACACAAGGATTGGGTGTCCAGACTCAGTGACACAGTGGATTGGGTGTCTTGACTCTGTGGCACAGTGGATTGGGTGTCCAGACTCTGTGGCACAGTGGATTGGGTGTCCAGGCTCATCAACACACGGTTTGGGTGTCCAGACTGCGGCACAGTGGGTTGGGGTGCCTAGACTCTGTGGCATTGGGTGTCCAGACTCTGTGGTACAGTGGATTGTGTGTCCAGGCTCAGTGATAGAGTGGATTGGGTGTCTAGACACTGTGGCACAGTGGATTGGGTGCAGGCTCATCAACACAAGGATTGGGTGTCCAAACTCAGAATACAGTGGATTGGGTGTCTAGACTCTGTGGCATAGTCGATTTGGTGTCTAGACTCTGTGGCACAGAAATCACTTTAGCTGATCGGATGTCCTTGTTATGATACTCTAAAATAAACTTCCTCTTCTCTAAATCATCCATACTGAGGATCACTGAAAATGTCGTCTGCTAGCAAGTAAACAAAGGGGGATAACTCTTCACAAACTAATGAAAAAGGATTAACGGAGTTGTCTCTCTTGAATGAAACCAAGCACTTGATAGCTGGTTAAGGTTGTTTATACCAGAATTCCAATTAAACATATTCCTAAAATTCTCAATAATTTCTGGTCATACTATATTATAGTGTGACTGACATAATATAAGCAACAGTTGAAGTCTAAGTTCTTGGAATGTGCGTCACGCCGAAGACCCGGGTTCGAATCCCCACATGGGTACAATGTGTGAAGCCCATTTCTGGTGTTCCCCGCCGTGATGTTGCTGGAATATTGCTAAAAGCGGCGTAAAACCAAACTCAGTCAGTCTGTCTTGGAATGTGGGGACATTTTTATTTTAGTATATTATATTAATTTACTGAATGTATTTTGTTCCAGAACTTGAAAAAGCCATCATACCAGACTATAATGGTCAGTATATTTAAAGATCCAACCATTTAACATTCCATTGTTGGGACAGGGTAATAAGTTTATTGACAACTAGGAAGGAAAGTCAAGTGGCATAACTGCAATTCTGTGTCAAATTCTTTTGAAATTTTACTACCAACAAGACTACATTGACACCAGGGAACCAGGTGCAGGCTAATAGTCTCTGGATGCTGTCCCTGAAGACTGTCCATAGCTGGGACTGCTATTTGTTATTCATCCGACTTTATGAAAATGGTTTATACTAGTAACAAAATTATGCTATTCCATAGTTGTTATTAGGCTTATTATAGGTTTATTACAAACGTAGACCAAAGAGTGCACTCTGAACATATGCCTCTCTATTAGTGTACCAGCTTTAAGATTTCTGAGTTTTGTGTTTGGATTCAAACCATTGACATTCTGATCTGATTTTAACCACCTTGTCCACATATTTAGTCATTCAAGAAGGCATAGTTAGTACACCAAAGATTAAGGCACTGGCTCACTAGGTTGAGGCCCAGTTCATTTCTCCACAATGGTTCATGGAACCCGTCCCTGGTGTTGTCTGTCATCATAATAAGACAGGAATTAAGCTGAACATTAACCCCAACTCTCACACTAAGACTGGAATTGTCAGAATTGTGTGCATTTTAGTAACACATGCTTGAGTATGAAAACATTGGATGCTCGTTTTCTCTCAAGTCTGAGATGACTCTGATTTGACATTAGAGCCAATGGTATGAAGTTAGCCTATTATTCCGGCCACCATTCATACTGGTTTGTGTTTCTGCAGTTAAGGTACACAAGGACAATGGGAAGGTAGAGATCATTATGCCAAAGTCGGTGACTGATGAGCAGTGGCAGACATTGGGGACCAATCAAAGTGACCATGGAACCCTTGTGAAGACAACAGAAAGAGGTTTGTCATTGAATGAATAGCAAGTTCAATATTGACACCAACTTGTCACTATGGGCAGAATGATCAGAGAACAAAACCGAAATTGTTGTCTTGACAAAATTGACACCAACTTGTCACTATGGGCAGAATGATTCAGAGACCAAAACCAAAATTGTTGTTTTGAAATGTAACAAATCATGGTTTGAGTAATCCTGAAACAAAAAAAACATGTTTTGAGTATCTGACAGACCTTCTGTTCTGTCTACAGAACTGTTTCATTTGAATGGTATTTCTGCTTTACTTATCTGCAAGAACCGCTGCAACTCGAGTCTGACACCTGGATAATATTGACATTCAAACAATTCAAATCTTTGTGTTTAATTTTGCAATAATTTTGTTGTTGTTTGATACCTCACTCAGCTATGGCCTGCTATATTATAGTGACCTTCTATGACAGTAACTAAACAAGTTGCGATCAGACAATCCTGTGATTGATGTTGTGAACAGAATTCCGTAACATTGTTGTATGATGACACGCAGTGACCTGAGTCAGCAATCTTGACCACAGTCCCTTTGGTAACCTTTAACAAACGTAGGCTGTTTGGACCTTTTATAACCTTCAGTGAGTGAGTGAGTTTAGTTTTACGCCGCACTCAGCAATATTCCAACTATATGGCGGTGGTCTGTAAATAATCGAGTCTGGACCAGACAATCCAGTGATCAACAGCATGAGCATCGATCTGCACAATTGGGAACAGACGTGTGTCAACCAAGTCAGCGAGTCTGACCACCTGATCCCAAAGTCGCCTCTTAGCCTCTTACACGACAAGCATGGGTTGCTGAAGATCAATATTCTAACCCGGACCTTCACGGGTGTCTATGACCTTGAATTAAACTTCATTGATGATATTACTGTATGTAATTGACATATCTCTCATACTTCCAGAAGTGTCCTATCGCCATTGCACGATCCAGTCTATACAAGAAGTTAGCTATGACACAAAGCTGTTGTGTGTGCAGCTGCCTGAAGGTACACGGATGTGTGTGCCCCTCGGATACCATGTACATATCAAACATAATATCTCAGGTGAGTCATACCATGTACTTATCAAACAGAATATCTCCGGTGAGTCACACCATGTACATATCAAACATAATATCTCAGGCGAGTCACACCATGTACTTATCAAACATAATATCTCCGGTGAGTCACACCATGTACATATCAAACATATTATCTCAGGTGAGTCACACCATGTACATATCAAACATAATATCTCAGGTGAGTCGTACCATGTACTTATCAAGCATAATATCTCAGGTGAGTCATACCATGTATGTATCAAACATATTATCTCAGGTGAGTCACACCATGTATATATCAAGCATAATATCTCAGGTGAGTCATACCATGTACATATCAAACATAATATCTCAGGTGAGTCACAAGAGGTTCTCATATATATGTGTAGGTGTATGAGCCAATATACATACAGAGGAATGGTATTGGTTGGAACCAAGTCACTATTACTCACCTTCATACTACATACATCTGAAAATCGGACTCATGTAGATTTATAAAAATAGATTTACACACAGTAGGTTTATAAACACATGCAGACCTATGCTTTTTGATTTAAATGTTCCTGTATTTCATTAAAACTTTGCTTTTCTCATTTTTTAGGGATGGAACTAGCCCGGAGTTACACTGTAGTTTTACCTTCTTTGAGATCCAGTGAGCAAGACATCCTTGTAGAACAAGGCCGTGTGTTTTACCTGATGATAAAGATCTATCCCGATGGTGCACTTACACCCTGGATTGGTGGTCTGTCTGTTGGTGAGAAACTGTAATGTAAAGAACATGTCCCTAACACCCAGTAGCAAGTACCTGTTCCCATCATGCAGTAGGAGGTACCTGCTCCCATCACCCAGTAGGGGAGGTACCTGCAGTAGTCACCAGTAGGGAGGTACCTGTTTCCAACACCCAGTAGGAAGGTACCTGTTCCCATCACCCAGTGGGAGGTACCTGTTCCCATCACCCAGTAGGGAGTACCAGTCAGGAGGTACCTGTTCCCATCACCCAGTAGGAGGTACCTGTTCCCATCACCCAGTAGGAGGTACCTGTTCCCAACACCCAGTGGGAGGTACCTGTTCCCAACACCCAGTAGGAAGTACCTGTTCCCATCACCCAGTAGGACCTGTACCCTGCTCCCATCACCCAGTTCCCAACACCCAGTAGGAGGTACCTGTTCCCATCACCCAGTAGGAGGTACCTGTTCCCAATCACCCAGTAGGAGGTACCTGTTCCCAACACCCAGTGGGAGGTGCCTGTTCCCACCCAGTAGGAGTACCTGTTCCCAACACCCAGTGTGAGGTACGTCCCAACACCCAGTGGGAGGTACCTGTTCAGTGTGAAGTAGTAATGTGTTCCCAACACCCAGTAGGAGGTACCTGTTCCCAACACCCAGTGTGAAGTACATGTTCCCAACACCCAGTGTGAAGTACGTGTTCCCAACACCCAGTGGGAAGTACCTGTTCCCATCACCCAGTAGGAGGTACCTGTTCCCAACACCCAGTAGGAAGTACCTGTTCCCATCACCCAGTAGGAGGTACCTGTTCCCAACACCCAGTGGGACGTGTTCCCAACACCCAGTGTGAAGTACCTGTTCCCAACACCCAGTAGGAGGTACCTGTTCCCAACACCCAGTGGGAGGTACCTGTTCCCATCACCCAGTGGGAGGTACCTGTTCCCAACACCCAGTAGGAGGTACCTGTTCCCAACACCCAGTAGGAGGTACCTGTTCCCATCACCCAGTAGGAGGTACCTGTTCCCAACACCCAGTGGGAGTTCCCAACACCTGTTCCCATCACCCAGTGGGAGGTACCTGTTCCCAACACCCAGTGGGAGGTACCTGTTCCCAACACCCAGTGGGAGGTACCTGTTCCCAACACCCAGTGGGAGGTACCTGTTCCCAACACCCAGTAGGAGGTACCTGTTCCCATGTGTTCCCAGTAGGGAGGTACCTGTTCCCACACCCAGGGAGGTACCTGTTCCCAACACCCAGTACCCAGTGGAGGTACCTGTTCCCAACACCCAGTAGGGAGGTACCTGTTCCCAACACCCAGTGGGAGGTACCTGTTCCCAGTAGGGGTACCACCCAGTGGGAGGTACCTGTTCCCAACACCCAGTGTGGTACCTGTTCCCAACACCCAGTGAGGTGTGTTCCCAACACCCAGTGGGAGGTCCCCAACACCCAGTAGGGAGGTACCTGTTCCCAACAACACCCAGTAGGAGGTACCTGTTCCCAACACCCAGTGGGAGGTACCTGTTCCCAACACCCAGTGTGGGAGGTACCTGTTCCCAACACCCAGTAGGAGGTACCTGTTCCCAACACCCAGTAGGAGGTACCTGTTCCCAACACCCAGTAGGAGGTACCTGTTCCCAACACCCAGTAGGAGGTACCTGTTCCCATCACCCAGTAGGAGGTACCTGTTCCCATCACCCAGTAGGAGGTACCTGTTCCCATCACCCAGTAGGAGGTACCTGTTCCCAACACCCAGTGTGAAGTACGTGATCCCATCATACAGTACAAAGTACCTGTTCAAATCACTCAGTGGGGAGTACCTGTTCCTATCACCTATTAAATGAAATACTGTTGAAGCCAAACTGACCCTTTCCCTAATCTTTTGGAAATGGATTAAAATGTTCTCATAGTCTTTTTCCCAGTCTTGTGACATATTTTATAACTTTCCAAGATATTTTTATGGATAAAACTTCTTTATAATTTACCTCACAAAAGGAAAATTATAAAGAAGTTTAATCCATAAAAATATCTTGGACATCAATGTACAACTTTAAATGCCACTGAAAGACATTATTTTATACCTGTTTTTAGGGTCAACTCTAGAGGTGAGTGATATAGATGGGAATTTCCAGTCCACCCAGCTCGAGAAGAGCACTCAGCTAATCCTGATGGCAGCAGGCACGGGATTCACACCCATGGTGAGGCTGTTGTATCAGACTCTGGTGGAGGAGCAGGACTCAAAGAGGTAGGTCCTTGGACGGTGGAAAGCTGCAACTCTATGTGTCTGTATTCCTATCTGTGTTGTGGTGATGTGTGGTCCTGTGCGCAGAGCTCAGGTCATAATCAGTTGAAGTTAAGCAATGTTGGGCACAGAGTGTCCTTGGATTGATGACCGTGTTTGGCAGTTTGACTATTGAGAGTTTCTAGGACTTCAGGTCTGCCCCACAACAAAGCACATGCATGAGCATGCAATGTGCATGGATAAATGCACAATATATATCGGCTATTATTATTATTATGTACGAGTCGGTAAGCTGCTTGTATCTATTTTTGTATTTGTCTCATGGTTCACTGTGTGTCATAATATCCTGCAGGCTGACTGCTGCCCTTGATGTCAATCACTGGATTATCTGACCCATCCTTATATTATGTTATTGTCATAAGGCTGTAATATTGCTGTTAAATGACAAAGAATGTTCCATTGGAAATATTTTGATATTTGTGTGTACACTGACTTTCATTTGTTCTTTCTTCAGACATGTTAAATTGATGTTTTTCAACAAGACGAAAAAGGACATTTTATGGAAGGATCAGGTGGATGAACTACAATCCAAGAATGACAGGTAGAAACATAGTTGTCCGCAGGGGTTCAAATTTTTGTTTTAAAGCCACTTGCCACAGGGCAAGTGACTTTAGGAAACTAACTTGTCCTGACTAATTTTCCACTTGCCCTGATTTTTATGACATAATCATGATGATGTAATTATGAAAGAATAGATCAACATGGTATTTGATGTTAATGTTTACGGGACTATTTATCGAGGAGTGATAAATAGCAAAGAAAGATAACTTTAGTTTATTATCATTGTGAAAGTTACTTCATTTCGTTCTAGTATCGTGTCAAAGTTTAATAGCTACATTTTGAGCAGATATGAAATGAAATCCAAGATTATTTGCAGTTTGAAACCGTAAGCAGTAATTATCTAGTAGCCCACGGACAAGTAAGATACCATTATTTGATCACCCAAAATGAAAACTGACTTGTCCCGGGTGTCGGGCAATGGGATTTTTGAACCACTGGTCCGCATCTTTAGCCTCTAGCTTCCAGTCAAGATCACAGTCAGAATTGGCCTTCAGCAATCCATGGCTGTAAGAGGCGGCAAAAGGGATTGGGGAGTCGAACTCTCTGAGAAGTATCCAGTATCCTGATTTTGTAAATCAATGCTCATCATGTCCATCGTTGGTTTAATTGAAATATCTGTTCTGGCGAAAAATGTATCCCTATAAGGATCATGGGTAATGTGTGAGTGAGTTTAGTTTTAAGCCACTTTAGCAATATTCCAGCAGTATCATGGCGGGGAACACCAGAAATAGGCTTCACACATTGTACCCATGTGGGGAATCGAACCTAGGTCTTCGGTTATGACTAGTGAATGCTTTAACCACTGGGCTACCCTACTGCTCCTCATGGGTTATGTGTTTGGCAGGTTCTGACTGACAGGTATTGGCTTACAGTCAGATGTATCATAGCAGAGACTTAAAAGGGTTGATGGATTTATTTCTTGCTGAAAAGTCAGCTATCCATAATGAGTCTTATTGAGCAGAGTCTTCACCTGCCTAATGCCTTTGTGCATGTATAAGACAGGAAAATCTTCTGTGTTATGCTGTCACTATCTTCTTGCACACTTTGTTTCTTCTGTCATATTGTAGTTAATCTATAATTTCCATTCAGTGTTTATTTCTGACAGTATTATTAGTTTAGATGGTAACAGAACAATAGGACATGGGATTCATGTAAAACTGACATAATGGGGATTCATGTAGTAAATCTGACATGGGATTCATGTAAAACTGACATGGGATTCATGTAAAGCTGACATGGGATTCATGTAAAACTGACATGGGATTCATGTAAACTGACATGGGATTCATGTAAAACTGACATGGGATTCATGTAAAACTGACATGGGATTCATGTAAAACTGACATGGGATTCATGTAAAACTGACATGGGATTCATGTAAAACTGACATGGGATTCATGTAAAACTGACATGGGATTCATGTAAAACTGACATGGGATTCATGTAAAACTGACATGGGATTCATGTAAAACTGACATGGATTCATGTAAAACTAAAACTGACATGGGATTCATGTAAAACTGACATGGGATTCATGTAAACTGACATGGGATTCATGTAAACCTGACATGGGATTCATGTAAAACTGACATGGGATTCATGTAAAACTGACATGGGATTCATGTAAACTGACATGGGATTCATGTAAACTGACATGGGATTCATGTAAATGTAAAACTGACATGGGATTCATGTAAAAACTGACATGGGATCTCATAGGATTAAAACTGACATGGGATTCATGTAAAACTGACATGGGATTCATGTCATGTAAACTGACATCATGGGATTCATGTAAAAAACTGACATGGGATTCATGTAAACTGACATGGGATTCTGTAAAACTGGACATGGATTCATGTAAAACTGACATGGATTCATGTAAATCTGACATGGGATTCATGTAAAACTGACATGGGATTCATGTAAAACTGACATGGGATTCATGACTGATGGGATTCATGTAAAACTGACATGGGATTCATGTAAAACTGACATGGATTCATGTAAAACTGACATGGGATTCATGTAAACTGTAACATGACATGGGATTCATGTAAAACTGACATGGGATTCATATAAAACTGACATGGGATTCATGTAAAACTGACATGGGATTCATGTAAAACTGACATGGGATTCATGTAAAACTGACATGGGATTCATGTAAAACTGACATGGGATTCATGTAAAACTGACATGGGATTCATAAACTGACATTGGATTCATGTAAACTGACATGGGATTCATGTAAAACTGACATGGGATTCATGTAAAACTGACATGGGATTCATGTAAAACTGACATGGGGTGTGTGTAAATCTGACATGGGAGTCAAGTAAATCTGGCATGGGATTCATGTATAATCTAATATTGGGTGCATGCAGAACTTGTGAGGGATGCGTGAAGAACTGATATGGATGCATGTAAACATTTTGTGGGATTCAAGTGGCATTGTATGCATGTTGAACTGTTATGTTGACACAGAATTCTTCCATTACTGACATAGGATTCCTGTAGTACATGGGATGTGATTTTTGTAAAACTGGAATAAGATGCATAAATCACTTTCTCGGTTTTGTGCCAAAATGTGATACCAGTGTTCATTGTCTTTTACAGGTTAGCCAAGACTATGGGATGCAAAGATGAACAGCTTCATGCTTTTCTAGGCTGAGCTATGCCATCAGAATATGTTTCTAATGATATCCTCAAGTCGTTCCTCATAGTTTTATCTTTGTGTAACTTGAAATAGGTTGAGGACTCACACTGGTCCTTTATGAATACAAGGAACTTTCACTTTAACATATTCTAAATAGTCCCCAGAAAGCAGAATACCCAGAAAGGGTGTTTCCAGTACCTGCTTTAGGCCCCACTTGTGAGATTCTAGCAGATGACTGTTTGATTCAAAGAAATTTACATGACAGATATTAGAAGCATGTTCATTTGAAGCTTAATCTATTCATTACAATTGAGTTGTCTCTTGAGGAAGCTGTCCAAAAACGAAATGAATCCTGTCCAGATATGTATGAAGATCAGCTGTTGATTCCCTTTGCCAAATCCAGAAGAATGTCAAGATGCTTGTATTGGCATCAGTACCTAAATCAGAAGAATATGTCCTACAAGTTTACAGCATGATGTCAAACACTGTCAGTGTGACTCCTGAAGAACTCTACATCACTTGATGTACTACCACATGAGTGTTAGAAAAAATTCAATTTGCATCATCAACGACCCTATGTACATCGCCCTAGGTGACCTATGTCATCACAATATCCTGAAGTGTTTCCAAAACTTTTCAATTTTGCATTTCCCTCTTTGTTCCCGTGACCGTGTCCTGAAAACATCTGCTCTGGAATTCCCGAAGTGAAGAAGTGTGTCAGTCAATTGGTGATCACTTTCACTCCTGCTGGTTTAACCTCTGAGGACATGGCATACAATCTTTCAACATGCGTGGAACAACTTTCTAATTATTACTTGACAGTTTGGTATTGCTGTTGTATAGCATTTTGAGTATTTATCAACATTTTCAAATTTTGTACTATTTGTACCATTACAAGGGTACATGATGTACCCTACCGTTGCTAGATGTCTGACTTTGTCCTACTCTACTGTGATAATTGCACTATGATGTCAACCTGTTGTTTTCTTGTACAAAGTCAGACACATTTGTTTGCATTAGGCCCAAACTCATTATCCCCTTTTGTCCCCCAAAATGTTCTTGTCTGAAGTCTTTGTCCCTTTAGAGAGAAGCGACTGACTCGGGCTTGAATCTGCTTAGCCTAAGGTGAACTCACCACTTATTGTAGTTGAGTATAACCTTGACATTACCATTATAGATCTCATTGTGACAGACCTTCTCCCACCCCACTGTGCCCAGACAGGTGCCCCATGTAGACTAAGCATTGTGACAGACCTTCTCCCACCCCACTGTGCCCAGACAGGTGCCCCATGTAGACTTAGCATTGTGACAGACCTTCTCCCACCCCACTGTGCCCAGACGGGTGCCCCATGTAGAATAAGCATTGTGACAGACCTTCTCCCACCCCACTGTGCCCAGACAGGTGCCCCATGTAGACTAAGCATTGTGACAGACCTTCTCCCACCCCACTGTGCCCAGACAGGTGCCCCATGTAGACTAAGCATTGTGACAGACCTTCTCCCACCCCAGCTGTGCCCAGACGGGTGCCCCATGTAGACTAAGCATTGTGACAGACCTTCTCCCACCCCGCTGTGCCCAGACAGGTGCCCCATGTAGACTAAGCATTGTGACAGACCTTCTCCCACCCCACTGTGCCCAGACAGGTGCCCCATGCAGACTTAGCATTGTGACAGAAGCGTCATGATCGCATTGTAATTCGTAAGTAATTAAAAAGATAAGCACTTCAAGTGTTGTGCTATCCCTTGTATTTTAAATGAAAAATAGTATGAATCTTTGTCGAAATTATGTTTTTGTCAACATCATCACCCCCTTTATATGTCTCAAGCTGGTTACTTTGCGTCATCAACGAAGCTCAGATTGACATTCAGTATCAGGGAGACTTCCTTTAACCACTGACTAATTTATGATGACTGCATTGACTTTGGTTTGTGGTGGGATAGGTAGTTCACTCTAATTGAAATTACCCACCTTGCACTTTCATTTTATTTCATGAAGCAGAGTTACCTCCCTTCTTGGAGTAGTGATAATACTGGTTTTGTCAAGAGCAGGCTAACCTGACTTCCTACAGTGCCAGTCACCGCTTCTACAACAGCAGATACAGGGAAACCAGGCTATCTTAATTTCATTGATTGTCCTTTAGACAATGCACTGTGGATGCCTGTCAGTCCAGATGGGACGGTTCTCAATGAAATCCTCCAGATTAACGATTTTCCAGATTTCCAGATGTAACTGATCCCTGGGTACATAGTGATGTTCTTTTAAGTGTGTACACACGTTCTCATTGGGAATTGCCCAGAGTACAGGGTTTGTGGATTAACAAGGTTACACTGTACATTCATGGTCCAACAGAATCTGTCATGCATGTCTTATACTGACCTATTTATAGTGTCATGAACTATGGAATAACACAACATATGTTTTATGTGTTTAATTGCAGGTTTTGAAATGATATCTACTAATGTGAGAGTCGTCAGTAAGGATAGTTTACGAACTGGTTAAATTTTACTTTCTGAATAAAGGTTTCAGTAATGGCCTGTTATATTTAATCTTCTAAGTTTCACAACTAAATGCAAAACTTTATGCAAGGGAAGTAACTCTTGCAGTCATAGCACTCAGAATGCTTGCCTTGCCTGGACACTGAATGAGTGACCTCCCTTTGACTCCTTATCCCCCCCAGCGATTACCAATGAGCTTTGTCCGTCCATCACTTTTCCATTCAAGATCTCAAAAGCATATTTTCATGAAACCATTTGTACACAGCCTTTCTCATGAGACACAGTCCTGAGTGAGACCCTTTCAGGAGCACACCTTAAAAAACATCCAAGTATTTTCCATGCAAGTGTCTGCACAGCAGTGTAAGAAAAAGGCACCTGCCTGCTCACCCTTAGCTAGCAAAAATCTGTTTGTGGTAAAAGTCCAACTGACTATTTCACTTTCAACTGTGAACTTTTCAAATGCAGTTCTCCGGTTTCTGTAGAGGAATGCAAACTTTAAAAGTCCAAAATCAAACTAGTGTCTGTAACAAATTGGGTTTACATTGTTACCCATAATATTTGCAATTTTTGTTTTAAAAAATTAATACCTTTGCAGAATCAACTTCCAGCAAAAAATTTGGAACTGACTCTTAAGGCTCATTTGCACACCTTGCTAGGAGTATTTTGAGACAATTTCACTCGATGTCGCAACAGATATTGATCAATGGGTCTTCTGCTTATTTGCATAAAGATTATAAAATTGGTGATGTGTTTTTTAAAATAGATCAATTGCTGCTGAAAGGGTCTGTTTGTCTCTGTAGAAGCCTGCTTCCTGTAATTATAGGGGTGGTGGGCTAGCCTAGTGGTTAAAGTGTTTGCTCATCACACTGAAGACCCAGGTTCGATTCCCCACTTGGGTACAATGTGTGAAGCCCATATCTTCTGTCCCCGCCATGATATTGCTGGAATATTGCTAAAAGCGGTGTAAAACTAAACTCACGCACTCACTCCTCTGATTTATATGGTAGTACAAGCTGTGTTCTTGTAGCTGTCATCTCACAGGTGACCTTGACTTGGCCAGAACAGTATATGGGACTGGTTATTTATTATAGTGGGGATAGGTCATTGGGAATCAGTGGAGGGTCATAAAAATATATTATCTTACCTTGCATGGAAAACACTGTAATCTGATTGGACAATGCCTCAAAGTTATGGTGACACTATTTCAAATTGTTGTGAGAGAATTAAAACAATAACTTTAATTTGTAAATTTTATTTATTGGTATTTGATAAGTGTAAAGGTACATGGAGAGGGTTATCCAAATATAGCATGAGAGAAAGGTGATTTTTTAAGTATGTTAATGCATTATGAACCTCTCACGGATACAGAGTAATTGTGAACCATTACCCAAACTGGGATATTCTTAACTTGAAGCTTGTTTCAAGGTCTGTCATTGTTTTTATTTTTATGATTCATTCACTCTTTTTTATCCCATGGGAATAGTAAGGTATATCACTTCGCTCTGTTCTCAATGCTTGTGCTATTAGAATGCAGTATGTTGTGTCTGGGAGACACCTATAGCAAGGAATTTGAAAACACTTTGCTTTCACAAGTCCTTTTAGCTTTGAGGAGCTTGCCAAAGAGTTTAAGTTTTAGCGATGAGTCATGACATATTTCATATCATAAGAAATGAACGTGAGGTTTTATTTGTATTTGTTGATACATTTCATATCAACAGAATCAAAGGTGAGGTTTTATTTGTATGTGTTGATACATTTCATATCAACAGAATCAAAGGTGAGGTTTTATTTGTAATCCCAAATCTTTCTCCCTATGTTGACAGTATCAACCAGTGTCTTGAGTGTATAAAGTGCTCCTAAGCAACTTGGTGGCGGAGAGATAAGTGATATCATTGATATCACAATGGCGTCTGATGTTGATTGATTGTTGTGATATCTCCGAGCATATGTTGCTTGTTTAGGAAGTCAGTTTTAGATGATACGTGTTCAAGATTGTCAGGATCACAGTGGTTAGGGAAGTTCAGGTCACTGTAAGGGCAGGTAACTCCAGTACTTCATATTTACATTACCTATATTATATTTTCGTATATATTGTGACTTTAATAATACATTCAATAATATCCATTCATTTTAGCAAGTCCAATCATAATTATTCGTGCTGTGTTCAAGAATATCATTTATCCTACATAGTAACTTGATAAAGAATTCAGATTTTAGCTAAATCAGGCATTAGTCTGGGCAAGTATAAGAAGTTAGACACAGAGACACATGGACACACAGACAGAGAGAGACAGAGAACTGCGTAGATTGATGTTCATGATTTTGATCACTGGATTGTCTGGTGCAGACTTGATTATTTACAGACCTACACAATTTAACTGAAATATTGCTGAATGCGGCGTTACACATCAAACTAACAAAAACTGAAACACCAAGAACTATACCTTACATTTTAATAAGTATGCAGGCTCAAACTCTCTCTCTTTCTCTATCTCTCTCTCTCACACACACACACACACAGACTACAGTGCTGTATTCTTGAGTGCATCAATATTTCCCCATTTCACCTTTTATCTAAATGTCAAACTGATGAATCCAACTGAATTCACATGAGCAGAATTATTTTTAAATATACAATATGTACCCAAGGGAAAAAACAGGTACTTTAGTTATTTCTATCATCAAGACTCTCAAATCATGCAAAGGTAGTTTTCATTAGTCTGTAGTGTGAGAACATATTTACAGATCATTCTACATGCCGCAGTTCGAGTCCTCCCACTTGCTGTATTTATCCTGTATAATGTGAGGGAGCTACATCTGTATAGTCAGCTGGTTCCTCCATGTATATTGTTCTTGTAGATAAGCCAGTGATAGTCTGTACATACAGTAAATATTATGTCTGTATAGTTGGGTCTCTCATGTTTTCAGCTCAAGTATACGTGTACTCCCATCAAGTCATTGTTAATGTTTAACCTTAATACAAAGATATATTTTTTGCTCTATTCATATGATATTAGTAGGTGTTTTTATCAAATCTTATTGACAAAGGGGAGACAACTCCATGCTGTGCTTTTCCTAGAAGCATAAGTTGTGAAGATATTTATTCATCATGTTATGAAATGTTTGATAAAAATATGACTTAGGTGTTATTGATAGCACTATTATAATGTTTTTCAGTTTAGAAGGAAATATAAGAAATAACTTGCATGCGGTTTGTAATGTGTCACTTTCAAATAAGTGTATATTAATTATCATATGATTTTTCATTTAAATAAATATGTACGAGTACATATACTGACTCAGGAGAGTGTGTTTGTCAGGAACCCATAATATCACATCGCATTTGTTGGAGCAGCAAAATCATAGGGCATTCTAGGGACTCTTATTTAATATTTGCGAGGCATTACCGACAGCATCCTCGATAATCTCCAGGGTATACATTACGATCACTCTCCACTATACCCTGGATGCATCCACGGCTTGGCCCGATTATTTTATTACCTCCCTTTGCTGGCTTTTTATCCAACAAGGTGTCTACGCTGGGAAGTTGAGCGAACCAATCACAACTCACTTTTTCTTCTTAAATTATCTAACCATTTAAACTTGGCAACACATTTGATGCACAGGTACTCTGAAAGAGGTAGAAGGAGTTGTTTCATATATTTGTTTAAAGTTTCAGATCTGTCCATTTGTCTGAATTATTTCCCCCAAAATCTGAGTGGCACTGTGAACAAACCTTCGCGACTGCAACCGCTATCTTTGTTGACACTGGCAAGCTCGGATGTAACGGCAGCAAAGGGAGGTAATAAAATAATCGGGCCAAGCTGTGGATGCATCCAGGGTATAGTGGAGACTGATCGTAACGTATACCCTGGAGGTTATCTAGGATGTACCGACAGTGCGGAAAGATTGAGGGGTCACTAAGTGTCATAACATATTGGAGGGGATGGTAAGAGTAATAATATAATGACCGCCGACATATCGCTGGTATACTGCTGAGTGTGTGCCGTTAAGCAACAACCAATCGAAACCAAATAATATAATGACTTCTGTTGTTTTTTTAAATAAAGAAATTAAAATTTGACAGTAACTTAAGGACTGTCTATATATACTCAGTGGTCCAGATTCGATATTTTCATGTTGCTGTCATACTGGAGTGTGGGCTGACACAATCAAGACAAACACAGGACAACAGTTCCTTATTCGAGTTGTGTCCCTTACATCAGTATTCCAATACTGCACTACTATATTTCCAGCAACCTGAATCTTTATTCAGGCTCGCTGACTTGGTTGACAACATGTCATCCTATCCCAACTGCATTGATCCATGCTCATGCTGTTGATCACTGGATTGTCTGGAGCAGACTTGATTAATTACAGACCGCTGCAAAATAGCTGGAATATTGGTGAGTGTGGCATAAACAACAACAAAAGGAGTAAAGAATGTTTACTCGCCAACATTGATGTTTTCTTCACTCCATCAGGTGTAATTACTAATTGTTTATTACTGTCCTCAGCACCTCGTGGGGATTTGCAGAATAAGTCCCAGCTCAACCCCGAGTCAACCAAGTGGATCAGGTACTGACTTGATGACTTGGTTGATAGAGTGTCCTTGGATCACAGCCTTTGATCATTGCTCCCAATATTGTTCACTGGATTGTCTGGTCTAGACTATGTAAGTTACAGGCCTTCATCAATGAGCTGGAATATTACTGACTCCACAACAAACAAACTGTGTCCAGCATGAGATTGGTTTGGGTGTTCGGGTGATGGATGTTGTCACATCTAACCTACAGGCAGTTTACATAGCCAAGTGGTTAAAGCATTAGCCCATCATGCTGAAGACCTGGGTTTGATTCCCCACATGGACTCAATGTCACCAACTGTTTCCCCTATGATGTGGGTCATGCTTTCAGTCACAGGTTTGTCTGGCCCAGACTTTATAAACTATATCTGTTATGATGTAGCTGGAGTGTCACTGACAACAAGAGGCATTTGCTGCCCAATTGTCAAGGTACAGTAATTCAGTGTGCAGAGTTGCATCCCTTGGGCATTCCAGGAACCAATTACAGCAGTGTATGAAATAAGGCCCGTCCGACCGCCCAGATGCGTAGGATTTCAGACTGATGGTCTAGATTTACAGCTAGCCAGCCCAATGGTCTGGTAAAAAAATTGAGATGTTATATACATCTGAGTCATATCTTGATGTCTGGTCTGGTTAAATCCATTTTGGACTGTAACATTTTGAAGTTACCAGCCCTGATGTCAGGCTGGGGTTTTGGCTTACTTCATACACTGATTACAGTGAGTTTGAATTATGTTTCTTGGTTTGTAAATCTCATCATCCTGCTCATGGGTTTCTCAAAAGTAGTAGACCTGCATCGCTGTAAGCTTTGCTCCCACGGAAGGTGACACTCCAGATTAACTCTTTCAACACCAGTCAACCAGAAGCATTTACTGCCATGACACCAAGTCCCCAGAGACTCTAAGGTCATAGATGAAGCCTATGTTTATCAAGGAAAATATGAGCTTCGTATGAGTAACATGCGACTCATAACGTGGCCGATTATTCGGCCTGTGGGGTTGAATGGGTTAATAGAGTGCTACAGCTGTTGGACAAATCGTTAGTTTTTACTCCTGTGGTAAGATTGCATGACTTGTTGACAAATCCTCATCATTTCATCTGAAGTCAGTAAAACAAATCAGGTTGTGTATTCTCAGAACAGGGTAATTCCATTTGTCAGAATCAGGGTAGTTTCAATTTTTAGTTTTATTGGTGAAAAAAAAAGTCAATTGTGAAGCCAAACAATGTTACTTTTGTCTTACAAGTTATGTTGCCAAACTGATTGTATTTACCTGAAGCTGTGTCTGCAGTGCTACATCAAAACATCTTCTTAGGACATTGTCCTTCATTTATTTGGGAGGGAAGGAATTAAATTAAAGGTGGAACTGCTTAAACTGATGGTTTTAAATTTTTTTATATACCCACTACCTATACTACTGGGGTGGTGGGGTAGCCTAGTGGTTAAAGCATTTGCACGTCACATCGAAGACCCGGTTTGATTCTCGCATGGGTACAATGTGTGAAGCCCATTTGTGGTGTCCCCAGCTGTGATATTACAGAAATATTGTTAAAAGTGGCATAAAACTAAACTCCCTCACACTCACTCACTCACTCACTTTTATCACTGATGATAATGAAAACATGTTCAGCTGGCATTACAACAGTAACATAATCTGTAATGATGGTAGAGCTGCTATATGGAAGGATTTATGGTATTTGACATTACAACAGTAACATAATCTGTAATGATGGTAGAGCTGCTATATGGAAGGATTTATGGTATTTGACATTACAACAGGAACATAATCTGTAATGATGGTAGAGCTGCTATATGGAAGGATTTATGGTATTTGACATTACAACAGGAACATAATCTGTAATGATGGTAGAGCTGCTATATGGAAGGATTTATGGTATTTGACATTACAACAGTAACATAATCTGTAATGATGGTAGAGCTGCTATATGGAAGGATTTATGGTATTTGGCATTACAACAGTAACATAATCTGTAATGATGGTAGAGCTGCTATATGGAAGGATTTATGGTATTTGACATTACAACAGTAACATAATCTGTAATGATGGTAGAGCTGCTATATGGAAGGATTTATGGTATTTGACATTACAACAGTACAACCTTAATTTGTAATAGACAAAAAGCTATTGCCAGGGGTATACAAATATCCTTATGGTATACCACATTACAAGTGTAACAAAATTCATTCAGCAAATCTAGTGTTCCAACTAGGTGTTCATTATTGGTATAAATAGTTTCTGTGGTGGCAACAGGAGTAACATCTAGTTTTGTTTTAGATACACTGATGCAATGTATGATAATGCTGCAAGATGTTCACATGTTGATGCAAACTACCTAGCCCTGTATATTTGAGATATTTGTTATCATTCTGTATTATTTCTCATTCAAATAGATGTGTGCTCTTTTCTTAATGTTTCCACTCCCTAAGTAACTTTCTTTTAAATAAAACTGATGAATGCGATTGTTATTTGTTTGTTGTTTTATGCTGCTCTTAGAGAATAGGTCTTCAGCAACCCATGCTTGCCACAAAAGGCGACTCTGCTTGTAGAGGCGACTAACGGGATCAGGTGGTCAGGCTCGCTGACTTGGTTGACACATGTCATTGGTTCTCAATTGCTCTGATCGATGCTCATGCTGTTGATCACTGCATTGTCTGGTCCAGACTCGATTATTTACAGACCACCGCCATATAGCTGGAATATTGCTGAGTGCAGCGTAAAACTTAACTCACTTGCTCACTCATTGCTCTTAGAAATATTCGAGATAAGTTTGGTTTCTGGATGAGAAAGTTCAGTGGTTGACATCATGAAAATGTGCAACTATTGGTTTATGTGCAACTATTGCTTTATGTGCAACTATTGCTTTATGCTGCAGCAGCAAGTTTCCAGTGATAAATATGAATTCCAACATCATAAAAGTATGATATCAAAGAACAGATAAAATATGTCATATATCACAAAGTAAAAGACTGACTATTTTGGCGATCATATAGATCAATTTCAAAATTGATGGAATCATATAGCTCTTGACTTGAATGAAAAAGTAGAAACATTAAATAAGTATAAACAACAAAAAAAATTGAATTTTTCACCAAATACCAGAAATTTAACTAGATTCAGAATTGGCTAGATCCATTGCCACATATGCAACACACTGATAATCAAGATTCAGTACCCGCCTTGATGTTGTTGGAATATTGCTAAAAGCGGCGTAAAATCAAACTCGCTCGCTCGCCCAAGATTCAGTAAATACAACCCTGTTAGAACTTTTGATTTGATTTTTCTCTTTTTTGTAATAAAGAGTAATTACCAATTGCTATGCTTTTATATACTCAGAGGCAGAGAATATAATGATTGAATTTTGTTCAGTGGTAATCTTGTGAATGGGGGGCGATGGGGTAACCTTCGCTCATGCCGAAGACCCAGGTTTGATTCCCCACATGGGCACAATGTGTGAACTCCATTTCTATTGTCCCCCACCCTAATATTGCTGGATTATTGCTAAAAAGCGCATAAAACTAATTATAATTGTGAATGAATTATTGGATTTTGTGTGGAAGAAAAAAAACCAAGCAGTAGTTTGAATTACATGAAAGTTGCTAGAAGTGAAACATATTTAAGAAAAATGTCCTACAATGTTCACTTTAAAAGGGCCAGACAAGCAGACCCTTAACATTTCTAGGCAATG